TACATACTCTTTAGTAGGCTTTTTATTTTTATTTTTATTTCTTATTAACACCCCAGCCAGACATGTTATTGTTCTGAAACGCTCTTCTTAACTCATTGCAACATAGTCACTAGAGGACAGGATTGCAGTAAATATAAAGTGAGATAACATAGACATTCTGCTAAAAAGAACACACAGTTTAAAAAATTTCATTTCATCACACACTTCACTAAAATGACAGTAGAGAGGAAAATATAAATTCCCAAGGTCAAAAATGGGAATAGAGAAGATACCAGATATAAGACACACCAACAAAAGTTTTGAATTTGGAAAGCTGAGCTATGGGTAGACAGTGCTTTATTAAAGTTAAGAAAGCTGAACATTAAGTATTTCAGAAGCCAAACTAATAAGAAGCAAGCTGAGTTGTCCTCCCAAAACTTCAGAAAGATTTTAGAATTGATGGCAGACAATACATTTCAAAATGAAGATGTTAGATGATGCTAAACCCAGAAAAATTTGTATGTGAGGCATTTAAACTGCCAGATTCTACATACCAGACAGCAGAACTACCATTTTCTATTGCTTCTCTATAGTTTTTTTAAAAAAATAATTTCAGCTTGGCATGGTGTCTCACACTTGTAATCCTAGCACTATGGGAGGCCGAAGGTGGGAGGATCACCTGAGGTCAGGAGTTCGAGACTAGCCTGGCTAACATAGTGAAACGCCATCTCAACTAAAAAAATATTTTAAAAAAGTAAAGCCTGACGTGATGGTGGGTGCCTGTAATCTGAGCTACTTGGGAGGCTGAGGAAGGAGAATCGCTTGATCCTGTGAGAAGGAAGTTGCAGTGAGTCGAGATCACACCATTGCACTCCAGCCTGGACAACAAGAGCAAAACTCCATCTCAAAAAACAATAAAAATAAAAATAAAAAATAATTTCAACTTTTGTTTTAGATTCAGAGGGTACATGTGCAGGTTTATTATATGTGTATATTGTGTGCTACTGGGGTTTGGAATAAAGATGGTCCCATCACCCAGGTAGCGAGCATAATACCTAATGGATTTTTTTCATTCCATGCCCCACTTCCCTCCTCATTCCATGTTGAATATGTACCATATTTTCTGTATCCAAGCCACTGTTGATAGGCAATCTTTATATGTGCTGATGCAATAATCTTTGAGCTTATTGATACTAGGAAGACAATATGGGTATAAGTTTTACTGAATACAAACAGGCTTAAGTAAATATTGAATTCTGAATGGTGGTCACCTCTCAGCTGTCTTCCCCTAATTCATGAAGATGCTGATAATATTCAGGCTTATAATTTTTGTAAAAAGTGATCCATCTAAGAGAAAGAAACCTTAATATATTGATAGATAAGACAAAGTCATGTACTCACCTTATCTCCATTTCAACAAACACAAACCATATATGAAGATACTACTCATCTTTCTAGTGTCTCACTTTTAAAATAAGCAGTCAAAATTATCAGGTATTAAAAAAACAACTCTTACATGAATGACTAAGACTAAAACAAATAAAAAGACTAAAACGATTTAGAGAAATAGAGATCAGGAACAGGTATAGAAAAAAAAAACTTTAAAAGGTGTAGCTATATCATAAGAGAGAGAAAATATTTTATTCATATAACAAGAGAAAATACTATTATGAAAAGTAATATTCAGAGACCAAAAAGGAATATAGGGACATTAAAAATATGACAGTATAAATTTAAAAATTCAACATAATGGCTGAAGCACAAATGCACAGTAACTCTAGAGATGTGCTTCTCAAATTGCATTGTGCATCAAATCACTTGGAGAATTTGATTAAAGGCAAATTCTGATTCAGTATTTCTGGAGTGGGACCTGAAACTGTACATTGCCAACAAGTTTGCAGATGATGCTAATGTTGCCAGCTTCAGGCACTCTGAGAAGAAAGGCTTGGTAGGATATTGAGCAAGCAAAATGGAAAAAATTTTAAGAAAGAAAATAAGGTATCAATTTAGAGGATTTTATACCTGTCCAAGAGCACATCCAGAAAGAGAAAGAAAGGGGGAATTGGAGAGGAAAACAATTTTTTTTTAAGACAAAGAAACCTTTTCCAGAATATGAGTTTCCAAATGAAAAAGCCACTAAGCGTCCAGCACAGTAAGTGAAAAGTTATCTACACCAAGGCATGTAATAAAAAATATTCAGAATACTATGTAGAGATAAAAAGATCATAAAAACTTCCAGAATTCAATCAGTCTCATAAACCTCACACACACACAAACACACACATGTGCACAGACACATATACATGCCTCACAGCAAACTTTAAAAAAAATCAAATAGCCAGATAGCAGATATTACAGCTGTGTTTTCAAATCTGGCACTGAAAACCACATGTATCTAGCCTGATTTACAATCCAGTATGACAGAATAATAATTACATCTTTATATATACATGGAATGCAAATATTATGGAGTAAAGAATTTAAATAAGTTTCATGCATTTTTTCTCAGATGGATATTTTCCACCCAAAGCATAAACTTTGCAGAATCCAGGAAGCAGGAGATATGACACAAGAGAGGGGCAAATGGCATTTCTAGATGGTAATTATGATGAAGTCAAGATTGATAGCTATTTAATAGGTCTAGAAATTAGCCAATACAGATTGAGGCAGGGAACACATAGATTCAAGAAAAAATGTTTTTGAGAATCAAGAAGACCACTAAGTTAAAGGAGGTCCACTGAAAGAGTCTCAGACCAGGCCACCAGGAGCTCCACAAATGAAAGAGCAACCCTAACTGACTTACCAGGGGTGAACTATTGCCTATTTGAAGGACAAATGAGAGATGGCTACTGATAATGCAATTGCCAATGGGTTTTTTCTGCTCACTGCACAGACAAGATGCACTGAGACCATAGCACAGTAGTAGAGAGTATGACATGAGACTGGCCACAAAGGAGAATTAGTCACCTTACTCAAATCTGTCTACCCAAAGGCTTTGAGCTCAGGGTTTTTATGAACAGTTTGGGGGGTAGGTGGCTATGAAATGGGTGCTTCTGATTGATTAGAGATGAAATTATAGGAGCATGGAAAACAATCCTCATGTGCTGAGTCTGCCTCTGCATAAGGCCACAGAACCAGTTGAGCCATGAGTCAGGGGTCTGAGTGAGGTCAGTCTGAAAAATATCTTTAAAAAAATCTTAGGTGTTGTAATAGTGATGTTATCAATAGAAGTAATTAAGGAAGTTACAAATCTTGTGACCTTTGTCGACATGACTCCTTAGCAGTAAGGGATGATAGAAACTACAGAAATATTTTAGCAGAGTTTGGGTCCCTTCCATGATCTTATTCTTGTGGTCTTTTCTTAATCTTACAAAGGTGGTTTTAGTCCCTGAGCAAGGAGGGAGTTAGTTTTAGGGAGAGACTATTACCATTTTTGCTTTTAAGTAAAGCTATAATCTAAATCCTTCCCAAGTTAGCTTGGCCTATGACCAAGAATGGCCAAGGACAGCTTGGAAGTCACAAGATAAAGTCAGCTATGTCAGATTTCTCTTATTGTCATAGTTTTCCAAAGATAATATCAATCAGGTTTCCACAGAACTCATGGTTACTATTACACAAGAATGGATATTTCTAAAAACAGACTGAGAAAATGTGCCTGGAGGACTTTTTAATATTCAAAAGATCGCAGAGAAACTATGAAACCTGCCCTATCCCTATAGAGTAGATTTAAATGATCAATGGGAGAAAACCAACTTAATTTTTACATCCTACAACTCTCACTTATTTAATGTAAAGACTGCAGTAGAATTTTCATGGGCTAAAGACTTTTGTAAGGACCTTGATACATTTTGGGGTTGCTGGACCGAAGCTAAAAAATGGCTGGGTCATTGGGAGGAAATGAAGTAGTGTTCTATTTGATGCCAGATTTTAGAAAAACTGCTGCCCTACTTCATAAAAGGGCTGTATCCCTTTTACCATCTTTACTTTTGAAAAGCTTTGAAATAAAGGGAACAGAATTGAAATTAGGCTGCATCATGATAATCTCAAAAGGAGTCTCCATCATCACCATTCATCCCTCACTCCTGAAACAACTAACATAAATTTGAAAGCAAATAAGCCACTTTTTAATACAATGTATAGCCCACTAAGAAATTTATTATCCTAAGAGGAGCTCCAATTTTAAAGGAGAAGTTAGATATTTTTGTTGTTTGGTGTTTTGTTTTTGTTTTTTCTTTATCTAGCTATAGGAGGTGATAAAGGTAAGTAGAATATTCTGGGGACCAGAAATTTGATGTCAACATTATAATTATCTTTCCTTATATACTTCTCTTGATACCATTTCCTGCATTATTAGATAACAGATCCAAATAGGGCTGTATGATTGGTGTTCCTATTAACACACAGAATGAAGCAGAGAAGATACAGACGTCTTAAAATTATTTGAACAGTCATTTATTCACGTACTTATTCAACAAAAGTATTGAGTATTTACTATGTGTCAAACACGCTGCTAACTACTAGTAAAAATATATTATGCATTTTATATAAGCATGGGATTTTGTTGTTAAGACCAGCAATGTCGACATAAATTGAAATCTAGAAAAATACAAAGGATATATACTTGAAAACCACCTAGTAGATGTAATAAAATAATAAATGACACATAGTTACATAAATATTATACTTAAATATTTATATTATGCATACCACTTCCCTTTCATCCTCACCAGAGTCAATCAGTAGATCTGAAGAAAAAGATCTACAGGGAGACCTGACCTTTTCTGCCTTGAGAACACATAGATCTTTCTCCATAAAAAGATAATCTCTCACAATCTACAAGTGTGACCCTCTTCTGGTGCCTCATGGAAGTGTTGATATTCAACAGTTACAATGGGGATTATGTAAACCCAAATGAAACCTTTTGAAAAACTTCTAAAATATTTTTTCAGTAGACAGTTAAGGAAAAGACATAATATTCTCTTCAGCCCTGCCTACAGCCAGAAAGATTTCCTTCAATTTTTCATGGCCCTTTCTTATATGTTGATGACACTTCTATTCTCTACATCTGAATCATTCTTTGAATGTTTGCTTTTGTCTATTTCTATTGCTTCAATCCCATTTCAAACTACCCCTTCATGTGAATTACCACAATAGCCTCCTATTAGACTCCCACTACTAGTCTCCTCATACTGCTTTCATTAACTCAAGTGAATAGTCTGAACAGCGGAAAAAGTATCAAATATGATAAGATAATTTCTGATCATGTCATTCCACTACTGCAATTGACTGGTCTATTGAATTAAACATAACTTCTCAGGTGGTCTTCAAAGCTCTAGGGTTAACATATCAGTTCTGTCTTTTCCCCTGTTACTCCCTTAACCATATGCTTTATTGTGACTAATAACAACTCAATGTTAATTAAACATATTGAACTCTGCTTACCATTCTTAATAGCCTTCTCTCCACTTAGAATTTCCTTAGTCCTACTATGACAGATTGTATTTTCCAAAGATGGCCTCAACAACCTATATGCTTTTCTGCAACGTGTTCTTGCAACTCCTCCACCCAGCACTGGAGTCTATTTCATCACATCCTAGAACACAGCCAAATTTTTAACAGCTTCGACAAATAGAATATGACAAAAATAATTCTGTGCCAGTTTCATGCATAGGATGTAACTGGCCCAGAACATCTGCTTTCTGACTTTTGGTACCCAAACTCTGTGTAAGAAGCATAGAAATATAATTACCCTGGGATCATCATGTTTTAAAAAGGTGCTGGAAGATGCAGAGCTATGTGGGGAGGGAAGGAGAGAGAGAGAGAGACAGACAGAGAGAGAGAGAGACAGAGAGAGAGAAAGGGCAAGGAAAACCAAATCACCAGACAGTGAAGAAGTGAAGTCCTCTTAGAAATGGATCTTCCTGACCCTGCTGATGCCCTGCTGGATGGATCAGAGATAGACAGTTTAGCCTTGTTTGAACTCCTGACCCATAAGATGACAGGAAAAATAAAATAGCTGATTTAAGCTGCTAAGTTTTAGGGTAGTTGGCTATGCAGTAATAGATAATTTTAAAAAATGCATTCAACTTTACTTTTCATTAGATGTGCTTTCACCAAAGGCAGCAATAACAACCTAAACTAGAAGTCAAACATCTTCCTGTTCCTCACTCACTATACTTCTGTGCAGCCTGTTTCACTCTTCACTTCCCTTTTTGTAAATATTGTCCTAGGGTTGTTGGAACCTCTAGTCTATCAGTTCTCATAATCTGTTGCTGAGTCCCACCAACCGCTCAACCTCTCAATCTTGGTTTATCATCAAAATTCTCTCTTGATGGTCCCCCAATCTGGTCTTCATGCAACCGTGGCAAACGCCACATGTGATAGACCCAGAAGATGATGCAGTCAGAAAATGTATTTCCACACTCAAAATTAGAAAGCTACCTTTTCATTTCTATTTTCAAAATATTCTTTAATATTAAGCGATCATTAAAAAATCTGGAGACAACAGATGCTGGAGAGGATGTGGAGAAATAGGAACACTTTTGCACTGTTGGTGGGAGTGTAAATTAGTGCAACCATTGTGGAAGACAGTGTGGCGATTCCTCAAGGACCTAGAAATAGAAATTCCATTTGACCCAGCAATCCCATTACTGGGTATATATCCAAAGGATTACAAATCGTTCTACTATAAGGACACATGTACACGAATGTTCATTGCAGCACTGTTTACAATAGCAAAGACCTGGAACCAACCCAAATGCCCATCGACGATAGACTGGATAGGGAAAATGTGGCACATATACACCATGGAATATTATGCAGCCATCAGAAACGATGAGTTTGGGTCCTTTGTAGGGACATGGATGAACCTGGAAACCATCATTCTCAGCAAACTGACAGAAGAGCAGAAGATCAAACACCGCATGTTCTCACTCATAGGCGGGTGTTGAACAATGAGAACACATGGACACAGGGAGGGGAGCACTACACACTGGGGTCAGTTGGGGGGAAATAGGGGAGGGAGGGTGGGGGGTGGGAAGCTGGGGAGAGATAGCAAGGGGAGAAATGCCAGATGTAGGTGATGGGGAGGAAGGCAGCAAATCACACTGCCACGTGTGTTCCTATGCAACAATTTTGCATGTTCTTCACATGTACCCCAAAATGTAAAATGCAATAAAATAAATAAATGGGAAAAAAAAATTTGTCTTGAACCAATTTTCTCATTGGCATTCTTGTTTTTAATAAAACAGGTAATTTAAATAACAAGTATAAAGATTTTATCTTATTCCACTCAACCAAACTGTTTCCATTTAAAATCAAAAAGTATAATCCATAAATATATATTGTCCCTCTAGATTTGACCATGGTGCAAAAAAAAAACAAAAAACAAAAAAAGGAAAGAAAAAAGTTACATACCATCTCTGTGTATCCTGATGTCCATTTCTAAATTTTAATAGATTATTCATGTACTTTTGTTATCAGATTTTATGTCTCTAATCATATATGAACTTTTTATTCCATATTATATTTAAAATAGTCGTAGGTTTTCTTTTCTGTCTTTTTGTTTTGTTTTGTTTTTTTACTTTCTATAGGAGTAACTGATGTCCTCTTTTGTACATCTATATGTTCTGTCTCAATTATTACAGCTATTGTTAGGGGATGATTAAAGTAGGCACTCTGAAGGCAAAATTGCCTTCAGTCTCAAATCTTTTCTTTACTCGTCAGTTGTTTGATGGCTTTGAACAAATTGTTTAATCTTTTGCTTATAGATCATGAACTCATAGTCTACAGAAAATCAAGTTTATTCATCCAATGAAAAATTGACATTCCATAAGTATCTGTGAAATGAAATGACTTTATTAATCCTTTAAGACCCTGCTCTAAGGCTATCACCTTCATAAAACTTTCCCTCCCATCTCTGAAAACTACTCCTTTTCTTTTAAAAAACTCATGGAACTTTGTTAATCCTCTTGTATTACTGTTTTGTATCATATATTAAAATTACATACATCTCTCTTGAGAATAGAAACTATGACATCCTTTCATTCTTCACAGAATCTAGCATAGGACTTTATATTAAGCACTGAGTGAATATTTATCACATGTATTAATAAATTTTTGATTCATGTCTTAAAAAAATTATTTCTTATTTTTGAAAATAGAAACGAGGTCTTGTTACATTCCCCAGGCTTGTTTCAAACTCCTTGGCTGACGCAATCTGCCCACCACAGCTTCCCAAAGTGTTAAGATTACAAGTGGGAGCCATCACACCCAGCCCCATTTTCTTTATGTGATATAATTGCCTCCAATCAACATATTCCAAGTTATTTATAGTTTTATCTCAATATATTCATATTAATAAAACACTTATTAAAAGTTATTTTCTTGGTTATATTTATTTTGTTTCCTTTTTATTTTATATTATCTTCATTCAATAATGTATATTAACTATTTGAAATAAGAGCTGTTTTTTTTACACGTGCCTACATTTAATGTGAAATAATATTATCTCTCACTAGACCATGACTAATGAATAAAATCAATTTAATTCAAGCAAACAGCTTGAATTGATTATACTTCCTCTAGTGCTAAATTCATATATACTTCTAAGTAAATATCAAGTGTATACATGCTTTAAGAATTTCTTTAGTTATGTTAAATATAACATTCCACGTTTTTATCTTAGCTTTGTTTTTAGCAGCAAATTTGTCATGTAGTCAGAGTCCTACTTCTGCTACCTCACTCTTTGCTTGGATGCAGTTGCAGACTGTTGTCTGCAGCTGTTGCTCATTAACTACAATCTGCAGTGGAACTTGGTCCTTTTCCCTAAATGGCAGTGTTTTGATCATGGCATTCCCTAGAGCAGAAAATGAATGCATATATATGGGCCATATAATGAATGGCCTTCTTGGTAATAAATAAAAATTTTAAGAGCTGTTTACATTTTTATAAATACAGAAACAACTAATTTTTGAAAAAAAATGTATATTAACATATTCATTTGCTCAGAATGCATCAGTTTACCAAATATATTGAATTAGTGTAAGGTAATTCACTAATTCCTTAATATTAATATTGAATTAGTGTAAGGTATATAAGAATATATAAAATATAGTGATACACTATTTTGATTCTTATAACACACACTTTTACTTTCATAAGTTCTCAAGGTAACCAACATGGTCTATCTATTTATTTGTCAATCTATCTGGCTAGCTAGCTGATAACTAGGAAAAAAAAAATAGGAACTTAGCCATTTTTGTTGTACTTTATTCATGACCCAGTGTTTCTCTCTGTATCTTCACCCCTAGTGGAGACAGGTTTATTTTACTTAAAAGTCTTATTACTGCTTGTCATGTTGCTGAATCAGTAAAACCACATTATAGTTTGTTTCATAACCTTAGAATCTTGAATAGGCTAGTCTGTTAGCCTGATCCGTTCTTTGCTGAACTTTCTTCTCTTTCAAGAAAAGCATTTAACAGAATTCCAGGCCAATTCCTCCCAACCTTCTTATTAATCAGCTTATGCAATAACATGGAAAGAATTAATGTAGCAGTCTATTTCATTCAGTTCTTAATTATCACTGCAGCCATGGTGATGATACTTGGCCAAGTCCTGAGAACTAAACTGTTGGAATATTCACATAGTTACTGTGTAGTGATGTTATTCTATAAATGTAGAAGCAGTGGGTCATGATGAAGGAGGTTGTCAGCATATTGAGAGTGAACATGAAGATTCATGATATGCACCTGTTTTGGAGTCTGCACGATAGTTGGTCATGTGGTAGATATGTGACCAGCTACCTTTAAAAGGTTTTACTGGGCAAGGGCATCTCTCACTTGTTCCTGCAATTCACAGCTGAGGAGAAAGATATGTCTGTGCAATCCATGCAGAGGGAGGGCAAGAAAGCCACTATGTGACTTATATATATCCTTTTCCTACTGTTCTTGTCCTGCAGTCTTTGCTGTAATAAATCTTAGCCATGAGTATAACTTTATGTTGAGTTGTGTGAGTCCTTCCAGAAATTTACCA